CCCCCCCCCCCCCCCCCCCCCCTTTTTGTGCACAAGATTATGTATTAGCCTTAGCTCCCTCGATATATCTAAAGGCGTCCTCGAGATATCAAAAACTCAAGTTCTTTTTATTCGTTTCACATTGAATTGCAAGTTTTCTCTTATAAATGAAGGTCTAGTCTTTCCTTTTCGCCTGTTGTTGTGTTTATGACTCTGTAACCGAGCTCGCCAAGCTTTCATCTAATAGACAATTTCCGAAACTCGTCCGCACAGGAATTCCTTATTGGAGGTGATAAGCTCTGAAAACTCAGATGGGAGCAGCAGGGCTCCTGGGTGCACATACCACCAACCTTAATTCGAATTCATCCGAAGCCCCCTCGTCTTTTCTTCTTCTCTGTGACACGGTGACAGCCCAGTGGATCTCTTGGCGGGGGGCTTATAATCAACGGCAAAAGCCTTAAGTGACGAACGTCGAATCACTATCAAGATCTAAATTGTCCCGTGCGCAAAGTTTTTCCGCACGATGCAGGGGGCGAAAGAATGGTACTGTAGGTAGGTACTCTGCACGAAAAGCCTTTACCCGCATCCACGGAAACCTGTCAGTCATCATGTGGCAATCGGTAAGTACGGTGCGGCTAACAACCAACTTTTCCTTTTCCCTTTCCACTTTATTCGCTGCCTTAGTCCATAACAGCCCCTCATCTGACCGGAATGTAGCGCTCCGCTTTGCCCCCTTCATCCGGAGATATTAATCTATTTCTTCCGTGCGCGTCATCTTTCAACTATCCGGATAAAATAGCGGGCTGATTCGATATCCGCTCAATAATCCACCGGTGCAGAAGAACATCAGACGTACGTATGCTCTCCTACCGCACACGTTATATGTACGGAGATACTACGTCCCGGGCGTAAGTATCACCCCTTGAGCGTAGGGTAACCAGGGAGTTTATGGTGGGAACTAAACTTTTGAGGCACCCTCAAGGGTGTAGCAATTACGCCTGTACCGTGGTACTATATACACATTTACTACGTAAAAAGAATACCCATTCAAAGGCAGATACATATACCTTACGCAACAAGAAGAGCTTCACTGAGTCGAGGACAACAAGACATGTGCATAAGAAGATATGAAAGACAATAAAGAGCGGAGCAGGCTTAGCGATTAACGTCTTTACAGATTGATAGCACATCCTATCTCGATTGCAGCCCAACATTATATCGTAAACATCATTTTCCTTTAACTTTACCGTCGCCCTAAGCTCGTCATCGCTCATATTCGCTAGTCTCAAGCTATTCTCAAACTGACCTTCTCTCCTCTCAATTTCGTTTCCTCGGCGCTTCCTCGAAATCTGTCTGAATCCCCGCCTATTTTTTTTTTCTTTTCTTAAAAAGATATCTATATCTAAAAGAAACGCGCAAGATCTCCTCTCGAGGATGTGACCAAGTGGCTTGTAAAAGAGCATAAGCCTAGTTAGTCTACGAAGTATTCGTGCTAACAGAAAAGAAAAGGTCGGGTTCGCGAAAGAGAAAGAAGGAGGCTATAATAGCTCGGACGGAAAGATGTGAATTTGAAAGCGGAGAGGGCGAGAGATCTTTTGGCGCTAGGGAAAGAGATTCTTCCGGGAATGTGTCACGGTTGGCATAGAATGGTATTGTAGTACTACCTAATCGTACGCTTGGTAATGAGAAGGAAAGACGAGGAAGGAAAGAGCTATAAAACAGGAGGGCCGGGAGGTCTTGTACCATAGGGCGGCCGCTAGCCTGGCTATCTAATCCCCTGACTAGTCCCCCAACCACGCCAAGACCTGTCAGGACCGTAACAGAATGGATAGTGTTTAAGAAGGTGATAATAGTATGGACTAGGAGATAGAGGCAATCGAGGGAAAGAGAGGTGTTGTTATAGTATTCATAATTTTATCTTCAAATGTTTATCTGAATAGCTTGGTTGTTATAGTAAATTTGGTGTATGATATCGTGACTTTGATGTGATAATTTTGTATGAGCCTTTGCTGGATTTCGTGCATATGGATATGCACAAGTCTTGGCATCCTCGACTTTGCAAAGCTCACTAAGAACGCGTATGAGGCCTCCTTTCCTTCCTCTTAACGAACCCCCCCTTTCAAGAAAAATTATACATCTTCAAAAAGAAATAATATTTCCTCCCAACAACCAACTATCCAACCATAAAAGCCATAATATCCTCCTCTTCATTCCCTCCGACTGATCTTCACTTCTCATACCTTCTCCTGATTCATACAGACAATCTTCACTTCTCATACTTTCTCCTGATCCATACAGACAAACACAAGCACAAACACAAACACAGATACATATATATATATATACATGTACCAAAACGCAAATCCCACAGCTGCCAGCCTACTAGCCAGCCTTTCTCCACCTGCCAGTACCTATCTAGCTCTCGCATCCACCCCTCCATCTCCCCGCCTACAAAACAAAAGCGCCACTCCTCATTCCTCATTCCCCCATTTCTTAGTCCTCATCCTTCCTCTCCCCACCTCCCCACCTTCTCCTCACTCAATCATCACCAAAAACAAATTCAAGCACCGAGAAGAAAAAGAACAGGAGTAGATCCCAGCTTGCACACTCCAAAACTCCCAAACTCTTCAAACAAGCCTATATCGTCCGGGCTTGTTACACCTGAAGAAGAAGATAGAGAAGAAGAAGAAGAAGAAGAAAAAGAAAGAGAGTTCAAAGCAGTTCGCGTGTTATTCGCTCAGAGGCTCAAGGCTCGACAGCTAGGTAAGGTAGGTAAGTAATCTGCCGGATCTGCTTTTCTTTGCTGTAAGAAGCAAATGCGTTTGCTGGGTTGAGTTGAGTCCTGTGAGCCCTGTCTGTCTGCACTCGCAAGAGGGGGGT